TCCTATGGTCTTTTCTTTGTTGGTATTTTTCCTTCTTTCTGCTATAAAATAATAAGCTAATTCATGCCTTTCTCTTAGTTTTGGAAGGAATTATAAGCCAAGATGGAGGCAATAGAGGCCCTTTTTCCTAATTTAAAATAACTATGAGGTTGCACACTACAGTAGTAAATTTGTAATCAATTTAAGAATAATGTCTTAAATGTACAATTAAACATGTCATAACAGAAGAGAACCCTGGTAATTACCATGCTTGCTGGGTTTTTAAACAGTAGTATAAGACCAAGAAAAATCGCCACCCAGTGATGCAAATGAAAACTGCAATTTGTTTTTGTGTAAAATCAGTGCCCTGGAGGATTACTTCAACTTCATTACTGAATGAAGGAACAGTTATTACCTGCTTATGTGAATAGGAACCGGTTACAAGGGAAAGGATGTTTTTCTACTAGGTCTTTTTTTTTTTTTAAACCTTATTCTTATTCAGCACACCAGACATGTTACAAAGGCTAAAAGCTTTGGAAACCTTAACGGGGAAAGGCTTTCCATTCAAATGTGAGCTAATTGTATATGAACAGTCCAGATATTCCCACTGTCAACAGAAGTGCCTAGGCTCTGCCTGGAACCTGAAGTCCAACTACTGGTATGTTCACTTCATCAAGTTACCCATGCCATCTAATAATTCTGACCTAAAATCTATTTGTGTTAAGTAGGAAAGCTTGCCTTAGGGAAAAGGTATTCTCAAGTGGAAAAAAATAGGTTATTTATACTGTGTACAACATAATTAAATCTGATCTTTTTAGAAACAGGTTATAAAGGCCACATAAGGTGATAATCGAGAGTCCATATTGATGTTGTTGTTGTTACAAATATAATCGTGTTTCTAAACCTTTATTTAGTTGTATCCATAAGAAATCAATATTGGTGTTGTGTGCCGTCGAGTCAATTCCAACTCCTAGCAATCCTATAGGACAGAGTAGAACTGCCCCACTGGATTTCCTAGGCTGTAAATCTTTCTGGGAGCAGATCGCCAGGTCTCTTCTCCCATGGAGCAGATGGTGGGTTTGAACAACCAACATTTTTGTTAGCAGCCGAGCACTTAACCATTGTACCATCAGGGTTCCTTAGGTAAGTACCAAAAAAAAAAAAAAAAAAAATTGTATATGCCTCTAATGTACCTATTGTACATGAGGACAAAAAAAAAATTATGTGGGATCTACGCTAACCAAAATACATGTGCGCAAGTATGGGGCCATGTTAATAAAGGCATTAAAATCATTTCATATCTACCATCTGACCTATTTGACATTTTCCAAATGGGACTAAAGTAGATAAACGACATCTACATTCCGGGACTAAAGTATATATATAAGTACGTATAGAATCAAATGATAAAAAGAGCTCTTAACAAATCAGCAAAAAAAGAAAAAAGAGATTAACATTTTATTTTTAAAGATAATTAGCTACATCCCTGAGAATCTGTCAAGACCTTTCTTCGTCGAGTCGGTTAAGTCCTTAACTGTTTAAGCATTTTTTTACTAACTAAACAATGTATACCATCTTCCAATCTTAACTTCATCAAGGAGACTGCAGTTTTCAGCAGTATTTTTAAATATTTTCGTAAACAGTGAAAAGTTTAGGCTATCCCCATAATTTCTTAAGACTAATGCAGCAACCAACTCTTTTATCAAATTACACAGCACCTTCTCTTTTAAACAATAAAAACCAAAAAAACCAAACCCACTGCTGTTGAGTCAATTCCAACTCATGGTGACCCTGTAGGACAGAGCAGAATTGCCCCATTGGGCTTCCAAGGCTGTGATCTTTAAAGAAGCAGACTGCCGCATCTTTCTCCCTCGGAGTGGCTGGTGGCTTAGAACTGCCGACCTTTCGGTGGGGAGCTCAGCAGCTGAGCTCTTTAATCACTACGCCACCAGGGCTCCTTTTTTAATTGATAAAGAACACAATTTAAATTAGAAAAAAAATAAAAGAGCCTGAAATATCACTAATATCTTAGAATTAAAACTGATGATATGAAATTAAAAAAAAAAAATGGACAGCTTCATGGTGAAGCAGATAGGCTCTGAAATCTGGCTACCCAGGCTAATTCCAGATTGGCTATATGTTAGCAGGGGAGCTTACGAATGTTTGTTAATGGGGATATAATACCACCACCTCACTCAGAGGGTTGTTCTAATGATCCTCATTTTATAGGCGAGCTAACTGACATACAGGGAGGTTAAGTAACTTGCCCACAGTGCAAAAGCTAGTAGGTTGTGGAGCCAGGAAGCAAACCCAAGCAGTCTGGCTCCAGAGACAGCACTCTTAATCTGCACTTTACTGCGGGACTTCAAAGGTACTTCTTAGGAAGATGGAAGACAAGAGGGATGAAAAGGCACAGAGGAAAGAGGAAATGAGAGCCAGGAGATGATGCTGACTGACATCATCAACACTTTAGCCAAGTTACTAAGCACACAACACTAGGTGTGCATGGATTTTCATAAAAAATGGTGAAAGGGTGGACCTTGGCACCCGGAGAGAAATGGAGCTATATAGAAACAAGCATCAGCAGATGGACGAGCTAAGAGACAAGGAGGCCTCAGCCAACATTTGGGGGGCTTGTCTTGGATCATTTGAATGAGGGTGTAGCACCAGCTGCACTTCATATTAAATCACCATCCTGGAACATGATGGAAGGGATTCCTCATCGTAACTGCCCAACTGCTGGACACATGGTGCAGGAGACAGCACTGACGCCGCTCATTCCAGAATGGTCCTGGGAAAACTTCAAAATACGGCATGTCAGCCTTTAGGAAAATACACTGTTAGGACTTACATATATTAGATGGAGCAGCTGGTGCATGAGAGCATATTAGAATAATTAAGTCCTGGAAATTCCCTCACGAAATAACAAGTTTGGAAGTTTGTGTGTCTTCTCAGGTTAAGTTAAACTTCCTAAACTGGAGTATTTCCTGGAAGAAAAATGGAGGTCACAGCAGACAAGCTTTACCTGTTGGGTCAGAAAGCCCTAAAAACTATGCCCCTATTGGACTACCTATGGGACAGGAACTAGAACCTCTTGTCGCAGCTACATGCTACCTAAAATTAGAGGAGATCTGAGAACAAGCAGTACCAGGGGCCATTTCCTTTGTGGCTAAGACCTGTCTCTAAAATGTTGCAAGGTGGCATCCCACAGCAGTAGAGAGGTGAAGAAGATAAATAAAAAGTTTCGAGGTCCAGTATGAGAAATTATGTGGGCTCTCAAGATGCCAGTGCACACACCCAACTCACAAAATTTAAGTGGTTATTTGATAACAAGAAGAAGAATGTCCATTTCTGAACATGGAACAATAGAAGAGCACAAAGTCCTGTGCTTATGTGTTAAGACCACAGAGGTGTTTTAAAATAAAGAATGTAAAACAAAGTTTGGAAACTCAGGCTTTATTGCAATGAATTTCTCAAAGAAAAATTTGTAGTGAAAGTCCTGAGGAAGGAGAAACTTCACAGGAGACCTGAGGCACCCCTAAAGTATTTCTGTCAGCGAGGCTAATCCAGGAGGTGAGAGGGAAGCAACACTGGCAGCCCTCAGGGAACAAAATTTTAGGCTTCCAGAGCCAGTTCTGACATGGAAACCAAAGCACAAATTCCTGACACAGTAAAAAGGGTCAGAGAAACAGTCGTGTCCACAGCATCCCACCTCATCCCGAAAAACCTACTGGCCCTGGTCAAAGACTGTGTAGGGAGCCTGGTCAGAAAGAAAACTGACCACCCTAGCTACTGCCCCGTCCCAGGCCTTATGAAGCAAATTCAGAAAAAACACAAGATTGCCAGAACTTGGCTGTAGAAAAGATGGGACATTCTATGGTAAATGTTAGTCATGCGAAAAACTCTATTCTGGTCTCCCAGAGAAATGAAAGAAAGCCAAAGAGGTAAAACCCCTAGTGGTTTTAAGAAACCACATCCTAAAAAGAAGGGGTGAAGCAGCGACTCACCAAACCATACTTCTCAATGTACGGGAGTCAGAGGCATTGGGTAAGCCTCTGCTCGGAGAGGCAAGAAAGAGTGACAAAATTCAGGATCACCCTTAAATCCCAATGGAGCCATTCTCTCCCTCCCAAGGCATACAGAGCATTTGCCAACGTAACAGGGCCCCAGTCTGACTGGGCCAAGAAAAAGGAAGTAAGAGGTAGGAAACAATTACCTGGAAAGGCAGAAACCTGGGAAATATTCCCAGAGAGAAATTCCTATGAGTTACCTCAAATCCTCTCAGAGAAGGGATGGCACAGGGAAAGGATGAGTGCCACAGGAACACTGGGTTTTATCTTCTCCTCACCATATCCAGGGAAAGAACTTCTGGGATGAACTATACAAAGACTGCAAATCTCTTCCTCAGGGAAAAGATACAATGACATGGACAAATTTCATTTTTCAGAATTCCCCTTGGGAAGAGGACTGTATTTAGCCAAAAAAAAAAAAAAAAAAAATTAAGTCACTAAATTTTTTTATAATTAACAGGCATTAATTTCATAAGAGAAAATAAGCTAGTCAAACATATCAGAGACATTATTTAACACATTTAGATTTAACAGTGTACTTAATTAACCAAGTATTTTCTAGATGCCTAATTCAATTTCAGATGCTAATTTAAGAAGATTTGTGCTATTTATAAAACAGAACTTGAACTTCTCAAGAATTCTTCAAGACTTTTGGTTTTCCATAGTTACAAAGAATCATGAGTTTATCAGTTGGAAAAAACAGGGTGATTCTGCAAATTTAATTTGGAGTACACAGCCAAACCAAGATATAAAAAGAGCCTGACTTGACAACAATATTCTAAGTGATCGATGACCTTTATCTTTATAGATTTTTCTTTTTCTAATTTTACATAAAAACCAATTCTGAAATCAGTAAGAAATAATTTAAAAATCAATCATATAATTGTCAAGTAATTTTTTAAAGGAAAAATAATTCATCTAATTATGATTTTGTTTCTTAAAAACACTCACCTAAAAAGACAAATCCATCTGCTTCTCTCTCTGGTACGGAGGGCTTTTTAGATTCTGGAGGCTTTCTGAAGAAGTGAAACATTGCCGTTGCTGCTGCTGCTGCTGTTTATATCTGAAACAGAAACACTATGTAATGTCAAGTTCAGATGAAACTGTAACAATCTTACTCTTCTTAGCAAAAAGTCAAACATAATGATATCCCTGGGTGGTGCAAATGGTTAAATGTTGGACTACCAGTCAAAAGGTTGGTAGTTCAAACTCACCCTGAGGCACCTCAGCAGTAAGCCCTAGTAAACTGCTTTTGAAAGGTTACAGCCTTGAAAATCCTATACAGTGCCGTTCTTCTCTACACATATGGGGTCGCCATGAGTCAAAATCGACAACAGTTAACAAAGGCAAACCCAGAAATTCCCAACAAAAGATAATGCTCCCATAAGTATGAGGTGAATGGCACCGAGAGCCTAGGTTTCTGCTTCTTCAAAATTGGAGTTATGCCACCAAAACCAAAAAACGAAACCTGTTGCCGTCAAGTCGATTCCAACTTATAGTGACCCTAGAGAACAGAGCAGAACTTCCCCATAGGGTTTCCAAGGCTGTAAATCTTTACAGAAGCAGACAGCCACATCCTTCTTCCACGGCGTGGCTGGTGGGTTCAAACCACCAAGTTTTCAGTTAGCAGCCACCAGGGCTCTAACTGTGCCACCAGGGCTCCTGTCATGCCACCAGTTCCATCTGTTTCAAGGGTAACTGAGAGATTCAAATTAAGGTGCATAAACTTCCAGTTTATAATCTTGTATGAAGTCAACAATACAACCTCTCAATTTCTGCAGATTTAAAAAATAACCCAAGAAATCACTACAGGTAAAACTAAAATCAACATAGAAACTTATAAACTGGAAGGATATCCACTAATTATAAATCAAACACTGGTTTGAGGAAAGAAATTTTTTAAAATCCTTCCAGGATTCTTGCCATACCATCACTAGCCTAAGCCTCAAAAAACTGAAGCCACCTGAAAAAAAAGGAAGACACTTCAAACATCCTCTACTGCTGGTGGCCTCATTCAGACTGTACCCATTATAAAATGGCAGCCAACCTTAAAGTTCCATCAGTGCAGATCTTTGTGTTGGTGAGATTATTGTGTCCCTCACTACCCAGCACAAACACCCTCTCACTGTACATTCAGGCGGGGCAACAACTCCTAGAAAAGAGGTGAGAAGAACGTTGAAAAGTGCTTGCAAGGACACACTACATTCTTAGAACAGTCCCTTAGAAACAATGCAATGTAAGAGACAGCAAAGAAAGGAAAAGAATCTGGTTGCAGCAATTGCTTCAAATTTAGTTTTCATGTGTTCCACCAGTATCAGAAAAATCAGGCAGGGAGGCTAGGTAAAGATTTAATCGGAGCAAAAGTCTTCTATTGTTGTTGTTAGGTGCCATCGAGTCGGTTCTGACTGATAGCGACCTTATGTACAACAGAATGAAACACTGCCCAGTCCTGTGCCATCCTCGCAATTGTTGCTATGTTTAAACCCATTGTTGCAGTCACTGTGTCAGTCCACCTTGTTGAGGGTCTTCTTCTTTTTTGCTGACCCTCTACTTTACCAAGCATGATATCCTCCTCCAAAGACTGGTCGCTCCTGATTACATGTCCAAAGTACATAAGATGAAGTCTCGCCATCCATGCTTCTAAGGAGCATTCTGGCTGTACTTCTTCCAAGTCAGATTCGTTCGGTCTTCTGGCAGTCCATGGTACTCAATATTCTTCGGGATTTGAATAGGTCAATCTGCCTTCAGCTATAGATGTGAGAAGGGTATTAACCCCCAACATAAGTGGATGGTAAAAGGAGCCTATTTGATGATAGATAACCTATCTGGCAAATCTCACTTTGAAAAAGAATAAAACATGGAGAGAAAAAAAATGTACACACAAGTCATATGAAAAATAAAATTTTTCAGTAAAGAAAAAGAAACAGTCTTTGTACTCCTCAGAAAAAAACTCACTGAATATAGTGATGAATCCAGAAGAAAAGGCTGAAAATAGTTTGGCATTCTCAACAGAGCACAAAAGGATATGCCTCTATGAAACTAGAGCAAAACAAGATGAGAGTAAAAAGGAAAAGGAAAAGATGAAAAGACAAAAAATTAGGTGAAAAAAGTAACTGGATGTGATAAAGAAAAACCCATGCAACGTATGTTTACTTCTGATCCCTCTCTAAACCTCACAAAAGTGACAGTAAAGGGATTACAAAACAGAAGACTTAAGCTCCCATGGACAAACAAAACAGGGAAGAAAATGACAAAAAAAATTGGAAACTAAAAAGCAGTGGAATTGTAACTAATTTAATCGTCCAGAAAAGGTAGTACTCTTAGCCTGTTACGAATGTACAGAAAGCAGGTAGAATCACACAAGAGAATGCTACAAAAGGTCAGGAAGTGGAGGCACCAGAAACCTCGTAAAGCAGGAGTCTATTGTTGTTGTTAGTTGCTGTACAGTTGGTTCCATCTTATGTATAACAGAACAAAATACTGCCTGGTCCTGCACCATCTTTATGATCTTTGGTATGTTTTAGTTCAAAGTGGGAGTACAGGCGGGTCTAAAAAGAGGAGGCTTGGTTTAAAATATGTACAATATATAAAAGAAATAATAAGATCCCAAATCTCCTTTCCTACTTTACACAGTCAGTCACCTGCTCCTCCCAACCCAGGAGAAGCCTAGATGTTTACTTTCTGGAGATATGAAACAAGAGGAATGCCAGCCTTAGGAAGCCAGGAACATCTAAGGGCACAGATGCCAGACTGAAAATTAGGAGATGTAGTGAAAGTTTACAGGAGATGCAGAATGGTGATACATCCTCCCCTGGCCCTTTTCCTCCATTTCGCTCCTAGAACACCTCAAAACTATATCATTAACTTTGCCATGAGACCAGAAGAACTGGATGGTGCTCAGCTACTATTACTGAAGGTTTTGATCAAAGATTCTATAAAAAGAATCTTGATCAAAAGGGAGAAAATGTAGAACAGAATTTAAAATTGTCATGGAATCCAGATTTTCTGGCACCATAGAGGCTAGATGCACCCTTAAAACTGTTGCCCTGAGGTAATCTTTAAACCTTAAACAAAAACGTATCCCCTGAAGTCTTCTTTAAACCAAATAATAGTTTGCTTGACTAGTAAAGAAAGTCTGCCTTGAATTCTTTTAAGAACTATCTATATGGGATCGAAATGACATTAGCAACTCAAAAGATTAGACAGGAAACTTAGGGGGCAGTAAGTGTATTCTAATGTAGGAGGAACTACTCAGAAAAGGAGGTGAGAATGGCTGCACAACTTGAATGTAATCAATGTCACTGAACTGTACATGCAGAAATTGCTGAATTTGTGTATGTTCTGCTGTGTATGTTCTCAACAAAAAGTAAATTATTTTTTAACCATATGATTAATATTCTCAGAAATTTTTAAAAGAACGGTTGGAAATTGAGCATAAGAGAACTCCTTCTTTTAAACAACAAAAAAGTCAGAATATAAACTGTAGCAAATCTCTTAAAAGTTAAACAAAAGAAGAAACAAATAAAAACAGGAGAAAGAAGATAAGGGAATTAGAAGATCACTCCAAATGGTCTGATTCTGAATACTAAATTTGAGAAAGAGAAGTAATAGAAATTTAAATGGAGGAAACCATCAATAAGTCAAGAAAACATCTCAGAGTTAAAGTATATGCGTATCCAGATTGAAAAGGCCCACCGAAGATCCAGCACAATGGATTGAACAACACAAAACACTCCAAGGCACATGGTGAAAATGTATAACACTTGGGAATAATGAGAAGATCCTAAAGTCAAAAACACTTGAAGTGTATTGAACTTCTCAATAGCAACAATGGAAGCTAATGGAGTAATGTCTTCAAAATTATGAGAGAATTCTTTCTATTCCCAGCCAAACTATCAATTAGCATTAATCAAGGCATATTCAAATAAACTCTCAAAATATTTACTTCCCATGTACTCTTTCTCAAAAAGGTACTAGAGATGTATACCAACAAAATAATGGATAATCCAAGAGGGAAGACATGTGGTACAGGCAACTGGACAGCAAACAGAGGATAGAGATCAAGGGACTTCCCAAATGATGCGTGAAGGCAATATAGCTGTGCGACAGCCCTAGGGAGCAACCAGTCCATAATGGAGCCCGAGGAAAGAAGGATTATTGATAGCTCAAAGGTGGGGAGGGGAAAAATAGAATTGACAGATTATCTGAGAGAAGATGTATATTTTTGGTTGAAAGTTTAGAAATGAAAACACCAGGGTTTTTTTTTTTTTAATTCGATCAGCAAGACAAGGATGACCACTATTACTGCTACAATACACCAACATTCTGGAAGTTCTAGCCCAGTGATTTTTAACCTTTTTGGGGCACAGGTACCTTTGAAAAACTGATGAAAGTAAGAAACCATCTCCCTAAGAAAAAGCACAGTTATATGCTGTCAACTTCAAAGGATTTGCAATACTTAGAACAGAGTCTACTGACCCCTAGGTAAGAAACCCAGTTCTAGCCAATGCGAAAATTCAAGAAAAAAGTAAGAGGCATAAATAATGAAAAGGAGACAAAATTGATTTTATGAATAATGTGCCATTAAGCTGAAAACCTCAAGAAAAACAGCTGAAAAATGATTAACCTCAAAAAAAGTTTGGTAAGGTTACTGGTTACAACAAAAAGATATAAAAATCAAAAGCTTTCCTATATGTTAGCAATAACCATTTTGAAAATATAATGGTTTTAATTTAAAACATAATATTTATATTTTATTATATTTATTTTAAATATTATATTTGAAAATATAATTCCCTTTCTGAATAGCTACTGTGATAGTTACCAGTGTTGTTCACCAAATATTTCCTTTTCCACCTTCCAGGAATATGTGAATGCCATAGAGTTAGGTATGGGTACATGACATGCTTTGACCCATGAAATATGACATGTGACACTTCCATGAGGAAGCTTTTAAGAGCCAGTGTATGATTCACCCCACACTCTGTTTTCCTTTGCCACAGGAACAGGTAATATTCTAGAACCAGTAACGGACAGGTTAAGTATTGGTAAAAATTATGTGACCAGTACACAGCCGAGCTGGGATTTTAAACCAAGTTCTTTCAGCACCAAAACTAAATGCTTTTCAAGTTATGTGACTAGTAAACAGCAGAGCTGGCATCATAAACCAAGTTCTTTCAGCACCAACACTGAACACTTTTCATCAATAAAGCACCAGAGACAACGGGCCCTGAACACTCATTATGACATGCGTGTTAGACATTGTTTTATATAATACTTCTCAAAGTTACCCATTTGACTAATTCCAGTTCTGCCTTTGTCAATCCCTACTTTGCCAAGCCTTGATCACCTCTATGTTCTCAAGACATTTACTTATTTCACAACATCTATGTTCAAGATATTCACTTATTTTATAAACAATTAAGTGCTTAGGCCAGATACAATACTAAACAAACTACAATCCCCACCCACCATATTTCTGAGGCAATCCTTAGCAAATTTAAGAGTAATTTAAGAGCCCCATCCCCAAAGTGGAGGAGGCCTGTAATAGTCCCACTGCCCTGAGCCTAGTATATTTAAGCCCTAAGCACTCTCATGCTTCTGAGGTACATGGCCGTTATAATTGGGCTGCTTCTGCTTAGAGTTCCTGAGAATACTCTATTCTCATTTCCTTTATAATTTTTCAGTGTTTTTTAAGTTGTCTACAATGAGCAAATTTTACATTTATAAAAAGAAAAAATGACAAAATTTACTCCTAAAAAATTCTTAGCTAGCAGCATCACTCTTGGTTGGCTATGCTGGAATCCAACCCAGAATGACTTCTAATTCTCAAACACAGGCATCCTAGAGCTGCCTCGATATAGATGAGAGACGAAGAATTCACCTGACCAAGCCATAAACTGGGAAAAAGTATTCGCAAATTACATACCTGATAAAGGATGTGTTATAGACTGTACTGCATCCCCCAAAAATGTGTTAACTTTTGCTAGGCTATGATTCCTAGTACTGTGTGGTTGTCCACCATTTTGTCATCTGATGTGACTTTCCTATGTGTTGTAAATCCTACCTCTATAATGTTAATGAAGCAGGATTACAGGCAGTTATGTTAATGAGGCAGGACTCAATCTACAAGATTAGGCTGTATCTTGAGTG